GCATTTTCTTGTTAGTAACTGTAACGGCGTTGTAACGATAGGAATAGTAATTAGTTAGATTACTCGTTACGCCGTTACTTGTAACACCGTTATTCCCATCACTGGTTGGAAGTGTGTTCAACAGATGGCAAGCCTCTATTGAAAATGCTGAAAGAACAAATTTAGATCTGCAATATGATATCTTGCAGTTGCTGTTCACCATGCTCCTAGTAATACAATTACTATATCTTGTCTTTGTGTGTATCTATTAAGACACTCTGGGGCCAGCCTATTTATACATTAACCCTTTAAAGCCGGTCGGAGCGGACATGCTCCATTTTGCGTAACTATTTTTAAATCCCGGTAGCACTGCAACCACGTGAGCTAGCGCAATTATTTTTTTTTGCATATGAAACCGGATGAGCTGTACTTACATCTTATGCCATCAGCTTGGCCTAGGTCACAGTTTCCTTCCACATATAGCTTTGCAAAAATTGCATAAAAAATCAAGCTTAAACGTGCTGCTGTTGTTTAGCGCGACATCCGCTGGTTTCCTCTTTCTAGCGCAAAGTAGGAGATAAACAAACAAGAGAGAAAAGCCGATCAGCTGATCATTGGTCAGTTTCGTGACTGAAGTAGAAACGGGAGAGGGAGGGGAGAGAATGAGAGGAGAAGAGGCAGCTGTGCAGCTCCAGCTTTGTGTCTTTTTTATTGTAGCTAAAGTACGGGACAAACCGTGCTCCTTTTCACCTCAAAACGAAACGCGTAATATTTTCTCTGAATACGAGACGATTCTGTTTTTTACGGTACGATTGGCAACTCTAATAATTAACCTTATGAACAAAATGAGCTGTATAGAAACTCCGGCATGCTAGCTAGTACGCCGTATGGAAAAAGTCAGCATAACGAAAATAAACTCCACCTAAACTTGGTTTATATCTGACCCAGAGAGACTGCAGGTCATAACTTCTTACCTGAAGTTCAGTTCACACTCGGCCCCGCGGCCGCCTCAGGTCTCTGCTCCTCCTGCGTCCCCTTTCCCTCATCCACCTGCTGGCCTCCACCACTTGCTAATGTTACTGAATCTGTGGAAGCTCCGCATAGCCACCACACAAAGTAATGAACAATGACCCTATCTAAATCCCAGTAACGACTAACGCGTTCCTGATTTTAGTATAATAACTAGTTACCGTGCTCGTTACCACAATAATGATGAAGTTAATAACGTGTTAGTCCCAGCACTGCTTTTGGACAACTGGCAGGCAAAGCATTTTGATAGGGGATTTCTTTAAATCACCCTGTAATTCTTCAGCTTAGACACCTGAGTTAGAAAACACAAACACTGCAGTCGTTTTTACACGCGTGGGCAGCAACGAACGCACCCTGCGAACTGCGCGCCGCAACTGCCTGCGTACTTTATTTTATACATGTCTGTGTGTGTGTGTGTGTGTGTGTGTGTGTGTGTGTGTGTGTAAAAGTAACAACATCACTCAGAATCTACAGAATCAGCGCATACACACTTAAGATTATAGCTTCACTTCTGAAAAAGCACGCTCTGCAAACCTGCAGTTTCCTGTCAGGTCTTTGCACAGACTCAAAGCAACGGGTTGTTTCCCTTTTCTACATCTGTTCTCTAAAAACAGGAAGTGGTTCGGTAGCTGGATAAGTTCATCATAGAAGTTATTAGGTGAAAAGTCACATAGACATTTAGATAGCTTAGTAAACAAGAAAAACACATTTCATGAAGCTGATCAAATTATGTAAAAACAAAAATCTCTTGACATTCCCACCTGTTGAACAGAGAATGAAATGTACTAGTCATCAGTAAGTAACTACTTGTCTTTCACATTTACAGTTATTACATCATTAGTTGCACTTCATCTTCATATTACAAATAGGAAAAGAAAGACTTCATGATCTTCATTGGTTCGGGTACATTTGCATATGCTGTGAGTAATAAACTTATCATCTATGGGATTACAGCCTTTAAACAAGGTATAATACAAGTAAAGAAAAGCAAAACAAAATAAAACAAATAAAACAAAACAAAATGAAATGAAATAAAATAAAATAAAATCAGGAAAAGTCCAACGCCGATCAACAGTCTCTATGGCATCTGAAGCCATGTTTAAAGAATGTACATTATCTGGTATGAAGGTCCAGCACACGGTGTTGAATAAGACGCACAATTCCCCTTTCTCAGCCAGGATCATGTCCAGTGCTACTCGATGTTGCATTACAGCAATTCTGAGAGCGTTCCTTCCTGGATGAGGATGTTGATGTTGATGTGCAGTTTACACAAGTCATTCTGAAAGTGTGATCAGAGATCAGAATTAGTGCACATGTTCCAGCGTGTTTCCCATATATGGTTAGGTATTTTGATGTGCTCTTTATGTGTGAGCACACGTAGCAGTCTTTCTCTGTGGTCCTGTTAAGCACGTATCTGTATCAGGCAATTTTCATCCACGGATAGATTTAGTCTTGTATCATGTCCATTAGATGGAAGTTGTCGTGTGTCCATCTCTTATCTCGGCTTGTGTATGGGTTTCTGCCGTCTTCCAGGTAGGATAGTCTGATGAATAGAGCCGTTGCCAGTAGTAAGACGCCAGTCATCACCTAAACAAACTAAACAGCAATGGGCCAAGAACAGATCCTTGAGGAATACCCATTCTATTTTCCAACATGGATGACTTTCCTTTATCAACCCTCACTCTGCTCTCTTTTGAAGAAGATACGACTCAAACCAATCATCTGCTTGTTTTGAAAAAGCTAATTTATCAAATTTAATCATCTATTTTTATAAGATGATCCCAATTGCAATTTGCAAACTCCTGTTCAAGTTTTACAGTTTCAGACTTGGGATTAAATGTCTTTACATGGCCAGGGTTGTTTGTACTAAAATACTGCAGTTGTTTTTTAGTCAATTTCCTAACAGTTAAAATCATATAATGATCAGACAGACCAGTTAATAGATTATTGTATCCTACTGAGAAAACCCCAGCAATCAGATGACCCGCTTTGAGCTAGCACTTTGGCAATAGTGGAAAGGAAAAACTCCCTTTTTTTTTTTTAAAGAGGTGAGGCAGCCATCTGCGTGGTGGTGAGAGGAAGAATGAGGAGGAACAAAGAAAAACTGTGGAAGAAAGCCAGAGATTAATAATAACTAATATTCAATTCAATCATAGCACTGAATTGATGCTTTTGACCCTTATTACATGGAGTGCCAACTCTTAATGGTCACAATTGCAAAATGTATATAAATCACAAAAACAGCTTTACTTAATCATTTTATTCCTAACAGTAAGCACATTGTGAGTGAAACAAATGAGTGAATAAGAAACACTCGTCATCGGAAGCCCCCAGCAGCCTAGACCTAGGAATCAAAGGTTTGCTTCAGCTGGCATCACAAAGGAAGTAACGTATCATAAGGTCGTCACAGTTGACTGGTGACACAATTGCTTGTGATAAAAATACCTTTGTTATTGGATTGATTCTTATATAGTGCTTTTCTACTCTCTCACATTTACCCAATTACACCCATTCTCACAAGCACTGTCTCCAAACTGAGTGCTGTCTAACCACGTTCACACTCCGATGGATGCATCGGAGAGCAACTTGGGGTTAGTATCTTGCCCAAGGATACTTGGCATGCAGACTGGAGGAGCTTGGGATTGAACCACCAACCTTCTGATCAGTAGGTGACCTGCTCTACCTCCAGAGCTACAGCCACACACTTATCAGTTGTGGTTGCTGGGATCTTTGAGGCTTTACAGAACTGGTGTAAAAGGAACACTGATAACTAGAATATGTCTCTCACTATAGAAATGGACGCCGTTGTCCAAACTAAGGTAAAGCAAGACACCTCAAAGACCGCAGCCATCCAAGAGAAGCAAACTGTGGTCCAAAAAACTCAACCACAGTTAGAGGCAGACAAAGAGAGGAAGAGTCCAGCTAAGCTTAACAAGGGAGAGCGTGTACTCCCAGTCATCATCACCACCCTGCTGCTCATTCCTCTGGTTGTTGTGATCTCCATAGGAGTCTTCATTTCCTGGAGGAAAAAAAGTATGTATGAAAACACCCATGGGAGTCTGTGCAGAAAATCCATTCGTTTTTAATATTGAACAACAAATGAGATAGAAATTAGGCCATTTTAACTACTGTTGACTGCATTGTCTTCTTGCTATAGTCAGTGCACATTGTTCTGCTCTGTTTCCTCTCTTGTCTTTGGTTATCTTAACAGTCAATGAACATTAAAGGTAATACTGTTGAACATTTGCAGATCAACATGAGGTCAAATCTGAACCCAGCTCGGTGAGAGGCATTTTGGGAAAAATAAGGGGTATGTTGTTTACATTACATTAAATATTTAATAAATACCAGACTTCGTTTTTATTTAATATAAGGTTTAAGATACTTCATGTATTTTTTTCATTTGTCAGATATACTAACTACCGAATATATTCAGCTGGATTTCCAGTAGTATGCTCATACTGTAAAGTTCAGCTGTCACAAAAAAACAACAGTTTTGCAGTACCGACAGGCTATGAGAGAAGATCATTTATTGACTTTGTTTTAGCTAAGACCCATTTACTTGTAACCAACACAAATTTAGGTTATCACTCTTCCTTCTTTCTTTTCTTTTGTCTTCTTTAAAAAAAATGTTTTGATACTAAACCATTATTAAGGAAAAATATTGTAAAATGTCAGTCATATATACAAACTTTTAACATTTAACCCCCTTCTGCCCCTTCCTTTACCACATTATGTCTAAAGCAGTGTTCATTCATCTTCATTAGTGTCTGTTGAAGGCATGACCAGGCTAGAAAACATTTCAGAAAATGAAAATAGAGCCTCTCTTATGTCATCATCTTATTGACCATAGCTTTACACAGGGATGAATGAATATCCTCAATATAATGCACTGCCAGTGTGTAAACTGAAGCCATCATTCTAAGTTGAGAATTATTTCTCTTAAATCTGTAGATTTTTATCGTCATATTGACATCTTCATTTCCTCCTCTCTGGTATTTAACCTTTACTAGGTAAAGCAGTGGGCAGTCTGAATCTGGGAAACTTCTTTCCATCCCATAAGGGTTATAGTCGTCAGGGCTTTGACCAGCTGAGTACTGAAGGCAGTGACCAAGAGAGAAATGATGAGGACAGCAGTGACTCTGAAAATGAGGAATACTCTGCTCTGCCGCCGCCTCAGTCCTCCTCTTAGATGTTCTGGGGCCAACTGCAAACCTTACACCAACCTTCTGCTAAAATCGCTGATGTAGTTATTCATCACATGTGTAACTGTTGTACCAGCTGCCAATGTGTGTGTGTGTGTTATTGTATGTAAAAATATTTTGATAAGTTATTTATTTAATTCAGCTATGGTATTCATACAGCCTTTTCTGGCATAATCTACTCATGTCACAGTGTCACTCATTTCATTTCCCCAAATCAAACCTGCTTTTACTGAGATTATTAACAATATTTTTGAAAAATCTGGAGTTGGTTTTGGCCTTAAAATAACAATGCAAATCTGTTAAAAGAATGAGATCGTTTCCCCATTAGCTGTTAAAGGCTGATGTTAGATTGCTGTCCGCCTTCAAAGTCAGTGTTTTTGTTTTGTTTTGTTTTAACATGCATTCCCTTTGTTTTATTAACAAAGGATTCATCTTGATGGTGATTAATCAGCCTCCAACTGTCCTGCACCATAATGTAGCTCTCACTCTAGTCATTATGGACTTGGCTTCCTCGTCAGCTATATTCTTGCTGTTCATGGCGAAAAAATACTCTGATGAATTCTGTCATTTTTCTGTTTGTCAAGTTTTTAGCAAAAGTGGCATTTCATGTGATATTGTTTGATTTGAAGTGTGAAAGAGAGAAATATTGTCAATTCATTTTTTTCAGTTTTATTTATACAGCACCAAATCAGAACAACAGTTGATGAAATGTTTGTAATAATACGCAAGACCAGACAGAGACTACACAAGATGCATTTAAATATCACACTCACCTGAATAAAAATTGCTTGTGTGGTGAAACCCACTGCATATGAGATTTGATGAGAAAAAAATGTTTTAATCCTGTATTTGGGAAATTCTTTTTTTTTACAGCCACTGAAATGACTAACTATAATTATAATAATGTATGGTCAGACATATATAGTGTTATAGAGGGAGATGGCATATAAAAGATTTCCTATATCTGTTTTTGTAGCAGCAGAGCTAAATCTGTTTGTTAGAGTAGCTGGTGCAGTGATTGGTCAGGATTATCCATAATGGACAATGGTGACAACCTGTCTACCAATGCTTCAAATGTGTCCAGTTTGCAGCCAATCACACAGCCAGCCTCTCTAATCAGTTTATTCAATCTGTTGGTCACTATATTATGATTTGATAATATCACTTAATAAATTACTTGTTCATAAAAGATTGCTTTCTCTGGGAAAGTTTCCCAAATTTAAAACATCTGATCTTGTTTGCAGTTTCAGTTATTGCGTTATCTATATGGTAACCTACTTACTGCCACTTTTGCTGGTCATTGTGCTTGTTGCATTGAAAAGGAAATGTAGTGGACGGCGCAAACACTGTTATCGTCACCATGTTAGTGGTTGACATATGGTTACTTCTACCCTTAAACACAATGATTTTACACCGTTTCATTATCATTTCAATTTTTCACTTAATCTTAAGTTGGATCAGTTTTTTTTGTTTTTTTTTACACATGATTCTGTGCCTCTTTGCATCTGTCTTGCCTTTTGTTTTAATCACGTGCCATAACAACACATACCATGGGATGAAAATTGCTGCCAGTAGAGCTTGTATCATAGTGATTTTATTTCCCTTCAGAAAATTTTATAGTGTATAAATTCATATATACCTGAATCTCTGTGCACTAATCATTCTTTAGAACAGGGGTAGGGAACGTTAGTCCTCGAGAGCCGGTGTCCTGCAGGTTTTAGATCTCACCCTGGGTCACGACACCGGACTCAAATGATTAGGTCATTACCAGGCCTATGGAGAACTTCAAGAAATGTTGAGGAGGTAATTTAGCTATTTAAATCAGCTGTGTTGGATCAAGGACATCTAAAACCTGCAGGCCTCTCGAGGCCTGGAGTTCCCTACCCCTGCTTTAGAAGAACCACTTCTCAAGTTTCAATAACGCTAAACCCAGCTTATAAATATATATATACACAAAATATATATGGTTTTGTTTTGTCTTGTTCTACCCAGCAGCCTAAACCAACTGGGTGTTCTGACTTAATCAATAAAAGCATTTATATGTAAAAATCAATAAAGACATATTCAGTCTGATGGCAGCAGTGCGGAACAAGTGAAGTCCAAATTAATGTGTATTAATTAAGGAAAATTCACTGAACACACTTCATGCACATACTGGAAGCTCAAAGATAGTGGAGGAAGACTTTTGTTTATTCAAAATATTCACGTTTGTTCAGGATTCTGAGGTTTAGTTACAGTTACTCTTTTTTCCTTTTTTATGTAGTCTGCACCACTTCTTTTTGTATTTATTCTCAGTATATCATAATGTTTGATTTCCTAACATGGTGCCATGTTTTACATGTGAATGCTGTAATATTAGTTGTGACACACTGGTTCTGCTGCAAGAGTACTATTTTCAGTAACTGTTATTTGTGTAATAAAGTGTTTGCAAAGCATTGTGGAAATCATGGTTGTTGTAGGATCAGAACACTTGTCATGTGGTTCAAACTGATACAAGAGATACTGAGATGCAAACTGAATGACTACTGCGTTTGCACAATTAGTGACTACATTTGGAAAACCTTTAGGATATGACAAATTAATTTTTAAAAAAAGTGAACAGGAAAATGTTTAACACTGAATTACATCACTATGGGGATTTCTTTTGTTTTGTTTTGAGTTTGTGATAGGTCAGGAGTATTTAACAGACCTACAGAGTCAGGCTTTTGTATTGCTGATGGTTGAAATAATGACACCACATAGTTAAAAGTCTGATGTTCAGGGACTGTAGTTCTCTACACAGTTTAGGCAGTTTCCACCTGTTTTTATTTAAATTTAAATAGTCAAAATCACCATACTCATTGGTTTTACCTATCCTGACCTTTCTTTCTTATTATGTATTTTGTTGTTTGAACTACCTAATGAGTCGTTTTCTCTTTTGGTTTGCTGTGATATTCAGTTCAGTTTAATTTGATTTATAATGTGCCAAATCATGCCAACAGTCACCTCAATGGGCTTTATAATGTAAGGTAAACAGCTTGCAATGGTAGAGAGAAAACTCCAACAAACAAACTATGCTTTTTGACCAAGCAGTTGTTGACAGTGGAAAGAAAAGTTCCTTTCTAACCTTGGGCAGAACCAGGCTGAGGGAGAGGCAGGAATATACAGTGAACAGTAAGGGTGATGACAGGATAAAAGACACTGTGGACGAGAGCCAGAGATCAATAATAACTGATGATTAAATGCAGAGTGGTGTATAAACACATAGTAAAAAAGATGAGTGAAGAATAATAATGATGGATTGCTTTTATATAGCGCTTTTCTAGGCACCCAAAGCGCTTTACAATTCCACTATTCATTCACTCTCACATTCACACACTGGTGGAGGCAAACTACAGTTGTAGCCACAGCTCCCCTGGGGCAGACTGACAGAAGCGCACCATCGGCCCCTCTGGCCAACACCAGTAGGTGGTAGGGTAAAGTGTCTTGCCCAAGGACACAACGACCAGGACAGGGAGAGAGCAGGGGGATCGAACGGGCAACCTTCCGGTTACAGATGAGCTTCCTAATCCCCTGAGCCCCCCATAAAGAAACACTCCATGCCACCAGCAGACTACACCAATTGTAGCATAGGAATTTTATTTTAAATTCAATTCTGAAATTACAGGGAGCCAATTTAGAAAGTGTTAGGTCTGCACCTGCAGGCCTTGCTAGCTCAGAGACTTATCACCGTGAGCACAGCAAGACAATTAGAGCTCGATCGGTTTTTACTTGCGCAAGGGAAGCCTGATCAGGATCTTGGAGCTCCAAGTTTTTCACCTGATCCCAGACAACTCCAACTCCAGCCTTCCCTCGCAACCCTTTTATTAACTTCAGCGGTTACACAAAAATCTCATTAATCATGCGACAGATAAGACACTCACATGTGAACATGTGATGTGTGTGTCTGTGATATGTTAGCATGTAATGTGTATGTGTGTGTGTGTCTGAGCATGTGATGTGATCATGTGATGTTTGTGTGTGTATGTGTGTGGAAAACAGAGGTGAGCATTCTTGCTAAAGATCTAATCATCTTGCACAGTGACAACCATATTGATTCATAATTCTCTAACAGAAAGTATGGGAGAAATATGCTCTATTTTGTCCCTGTTAGTATTCTTTTCATTGACGTCTCATTCAGGGAAAGTGTCAAATCTGAAAATAGATATTAAATTAAACCATACCAAAATAAAGTGATCTCTCTCCTTTCATCTCAACATTGCTGTCATAAAGTTGATTGCCTGTCAGTTAATGTGTAGATTCAGCCTTTAGACTGAACAGGCTGATCCAGAAGGCAAGCTCTGTTCTAGGATCCCCTCTGGACCCAGTGAAGGTGGGGAATGACAGGAGAATGGTGGCTAAGCTGTCATCCCCTGATGGACAAAATCTCCCACCCCATGCAGGAGACTGACAGCACTGAACAGCTCCTTCAGTGGCAGACTGCGGCACCCATGATGTGGGATGGAGAGATTCTGCAGGTCTTTCTTTCCTACTGCTGTCGGACTCTACAACAAAGACTTCGCCGCTGACCAAATACACACATCCACACATGTGCAATAACGCTAAGTGCACTTTTTTTTCCTGAAAACTTAGTATTTTATTCTATTGCATATAGTATGTTATTCTTTTTATTGTATCCTATTCCATTGTTTTTCTTAATTTTTGCTGCTGTAACTTTGCACTGTCCACTTCAATCTTGTAAGAGACTGCAGCACTCCTATGTCTCTAAGGGTGTGGGAGCATTAGCATGACTAGGGGTTGAGTCCATTAACAATGAATGGAGCTGGGGAAGTTGAGAGCTATGGAAACACAGCTACCATTAAACAAGTAAACTAATTTCAGTGATTGAACATCATAACAGTTTACTATGGCTAATCAACTTATCCAACATGTGTGATGTAGAGAAGCTGGAGTGTGACAACGTTGTTAATAACTTCTTTAGTACATTAGCAAGAAAAGCTATGACAGTGATGCAGAATGGACAGCTCTGACCATATCTGCTATAATAAAACAGGCAAGTTGCTGTCACTATATTCTTCATTTCCAGTTAATACTTGTACAGCTGCTGTTATTGTGTGTATATATACATACATATATATATATATTTATATATTTATATTTCTTCATACATTCTTATATAGTTCTATACTGTGTATTGTGTATTTTGTTGTACAGTTATTTTATTTTCAACTTTAATTTTTATATTTTATCTTATTCTTTCCCAGTTAAATTTACCCTTCATTCTAATTTGTGTTGTACAGTTATTTCATTTTTAACTTTAATTTTTTTTGGGCAGCACGGTGGCGCGGTGGTTAGCACTGTTGCCGCACAGCAAGAAGGTTCTGAGTTCAATTCCATCATCAGGCCGGGGTCTTTCTGTGTGGAGTTTGCATGTTCTCCCCGTGTTTGCGTGGGTTCCCTCCGGGTACTCCGGCTTCCTCCCACCGTCCAAAGACATGCAGCTTGTGGGGATAGGTTAATTGGATAATCCAAATTGCCACTAGGTGAATGTGAGTGTGAATGGTTGTCTGTCCCTGTGTGTTGGCCCTGCGACAGACTGGCGACCTGTCCAGGGTGTACCCCGCCTCTCGCCCTATGACAGCTGGGATAGGCTCCAGCGCCCCCCGCAACCCTGAAAAGGATAAGCGAATGGATGGAACTTTAATTTTTTATATTTTATTCCTTCCTAGTTAAATTTACCCTTTTTAATTTTTCATATTTATTTCCTATCTTATTCATAGCCTTTTCCTTTTCTTTTCTTTCTTTTTTTTTCTTTAGGTCACGAGCAGTTGTCTAAGCATTTCACTGCATATCGTACTGTGTATGACTGTGTACGTGACAAATAAAATTTGAATTTGAATTTGAATTTGAAGTTGTTTAGGTGCAGGCTCAGCATTGCTTTCAAACATCTATGAGAACGTTTGAATTTATTATGTTTAACCAGCTCTGTTGCCAACACTCCACTTTCATTTTTTCATATTTTAATCCCTTCTATAGGTTGACTGTATGTAACACACTGCTGAAGCCTTTCAATTCACCTGATCTTTTTGTTTTTTTAGAATTTTAATATACTTTTTGAAAAATTAAGATTTAGAATTGTGTTTCTGAGCTTATGAACAACAATCATATTTTCATAGTATGAGGTCCTCACAGGACAGCCACTGTTAAAATATAATTTATAGAATATGATTCTAAACATTAAAAACATTTGAAATGATCTTAAACATGTTATTCAACTTAACATTGATGGGAAACATTTTTCTGCTGAAGAATTATTTTTACCTTAGATACTTTTCATTTATGCATTTTTATGTATAATGAGGTGCTTTCGTTGTGTGTTATTGCTTCTTTTCCTAACTGAATGGTTTGAAAAACTTCCCCACCATGTGTCACATTCAGGTAATAATATATTTTTTAAATAATATAGTAGATGTTCATTTAACTATAACAGTAATGATCCATCCATTTTCTTATCCTTGTCAGGGTCTGCAGAGCTGCAGCCTGACAGGTGGCTGTAGTATGTTACTGCTGTTCTTTCTTTTGGATACACACTCTCTCTTTCTAGTCCTTGTCAGTACTCTCACTGCAACATTTTGGATCAACTGAAGGCTTGTTAAGGACATTTAGTGAATGAATAGTCCATCTGAGAAGTAATAAATGCATGAACTGGCTTTTCAGCATCACTCTGAGACAGGATGTTTCTAATTTAAGAGCTGTTGTGCAAATGCAGAAAGTACTGATGCATTTTTGATTAATATGTGCATTGAAGGACATACTCCTGGAGGCCATGGTAATGCCATCCAGAGTCCATAAACCTTGCTTTCTCCAAGTTAGTGGATTGGACTGGGAGTAAAACAAAAGTTCCCCTTAGATTTTTCCAAAAAATGTAGTTGTTTTAACTGCCCCTTAGGGGCAGGCCCATTGTTCCACATGGGCCTGTCTTCCAGTGCAAGGCCTGTTTGCGCAGACTGAAGGGCAAAGACATACGAGTCAGTAGCCATCGCATCAAAGTCTATGCCAACAGAACAGCACAGGTTTTTCAAATATTCTGTGTAAAATCATACATTTCAGGTTATTTCACCAGGGCCAGTGTTGATGGCTGATACCATCCACATTACACCAGGGCTTGCGGTGCTGGCTGATGCCATCCACATTTTTCCAGGGCCTGTGTTTCTGGATTAGGCCAACTACATTTCAACAGGGCCTGTGCTGCTCGTTGATGCCATCCACATTACACCAGGGACAGTGCTTCCAGTGAGGCAATCTTCACCACACCAGGGCCTGCGTTGCTGGATCATACCATCCACATTACACCAGGGCCTGTGCTACTGGCTGAGGTCAACTACATTTCACCAGGGCTTATGTTGCTGGCTAAGGCCATCTACATTTCACCAGGGCCTGTGCTGTAAGTAAGTAA